TTCAACGACTTTAAACTTGTTTGTCAAAAATCATTTAGTCGTGCAGACGTAACGGTGCTAGATTTTCTGATTTTCATAAATTTGAAAATATAATTCGAACTCGAACGAAGTCGAATCAAGTTGAATCAGTTCCTTATTTCAAGGATATTTTTTGTGCTAAATTTGTTTAAGGTTCTACAGATTTTACATACCAAACATCCCCTGGAGGAGATTTTTTAACCACAAGGAACACATTAAAGCAGAGAGAAAAATTAGAAATGCCTCAGGCGGCGGCCACAAACAGAGGAATTTGTACCAATAAAAAAGCGAAGATTATGACAACTTGTCCCTAAATTGCTCTCCAATAGGAAACAATTTTGGGTGCAGCTTCCCGAAAATAACGCTTCCGTTGATTTAATCGAAGAAGGTCTTTAATTATAGAAAATTGAAAATAATGTAACCTAATCATATGAGAATAAAGTTTTGGTAAACATATTTGTTGTTTCAATAACATGGTAAAACTGTATATGAATCGTTTATACGATTCTTCCTAAGTTATGTAAAAATATTATTTTATATAAAACGAGGCAAAACAGTTTATGCTACTTTCACAGAACAGGAATTGAAGAACAAAGGTATTTTTATTGTAGTAACGATAGAAATTACTAACCTATCTCATGTTTCAAGTTTCGTTAATGTATCTACAAAAATAATTAAAAGGCACAAAAAAAAACAAAAAAAGTCGATTTTTCAAAACTCACTTTTTTCACATATACTGTTCTACCTTTGCACGCAAGTGCTACTTTGAGACGTTCTAGAGCACCAAAAATGCGGAAGGTACACAAAGCAGCAGCAGCAAATATCAGTTGTGGTGGGAGTAATGGGGTAAAATGCACGCCGCGGAGTCTGATAGACTCCCTGTCCGTGGTTAAGGGTTAAAGGACATTTCAGGTAACAAACGTTTATTATTGATGAACTTATTCAAAAATCATACTATTCCAATTCGTATATAATGAAATTAACTATGTAGTACTTTGTATACATGTAAACGGTAATAAAACCATCACAAATCAGATTGCAGTTTGATTCTAAAACAAAATTTGGCCAAATCTCAATATTGTTAATGTGTATATATCCATTTATCGTAAAAAAACAAAATTTTACGACTTACGCATGGAAAATAATGAATATTTCAGTTTTGATTTTGACATTAAGCTTTATATTTCTTTACTCTAGTTTTATTATATGTTAGATTTTTCAGTATAGTAGTACACATCCAATACATGCATATTTCACTCTATATAAAGCAGAATAAAATGGATCTAAAAGGTATTTAGTGAAACATGAAACGATTCATTTACAAAGGACTTGAAGCGGACTAATTTACTTTGAGGCAAACCTAACATAAAAGGGCGATGTTTGAATAACCAAATAACAACCACAATAAATGCTTTTCCGTTTCGCCAGGCCAAATTCTAACCGCATGTGTACAAAATATCATGTGTCTGAATTTCCATTTGCGAATACTCAAAGGTAAATAACTTATAACTTTGTACAAAGCTACTATCTAATTATCTTATAATTTACTTTTTTACTAAATTAGTTAAGCTAAATAATGTTCTAATTTATTTGAGTTATAGGGCGTCCTAGCTATTAGTTAATAGGTTCTAATTATTCACTATGTACATTTAAAAAAAAACGTTTTGATTTTGAACAAAAGACCAGAAGACTATGAGAACCTTTAGGACGTTGAATTTTCTGGTTTATAAAACAATTGTGTTACTTTTGATTAGGTCTTACAAATTGTTTGAAAAATTCATGTAAAATATTTGGTCGTCTTTATACAAGAAAATAATCTTAAAACACCATTTAAACATAACGTGCCTGGTGATGATTGGTTTAAAACTTTAAAATACGTCATCAGCTCAGTATAAAAAAGCCCTAATCAGTCGAGTTCGCTCAAAAAAAGATGACGGACCCTTTCGTTATTAACAAGTATTTCAATATTGTAATGTGAGCCATTCCATAATTCAGTCATGCTCTAATACTCCAAGTCCCTCTCTATCTTATTTGGCCTTTCAGGCTCAACTAATCCGATTATCATATATAATTAAACACCTTAAGACCAAACATATGTGACGACTATGGCGGAGGAGCTTTAGATGACTGTTCGAGAAAGAACGGGATAATGTTTCTAGTGTATTGGTGAGAATAAGTGAACATTCTAGCACATTCCTCAATTTTTTAAATTTGTATATAAATATTGGTGGAGGACCAAGCGAGAGTTAGCTATTGTATGAACAGTGAAGATAGATAGTCAATAGTTTTAAGACATTTGACATATATATATAAATTAGAATAATAGTGTTATAAAATAAATAAGTGTTTAAATAAATTATTAATAAACAAACTGTTGTTTAAAATAAACAAACATCACATTGGTGTCGAAAAGTGGAATAGTGTAAATAAATAGTGGACAATAATGGCTAAAAGACTGTGTGATTTAAAAGTAACCGAGCTACGTCGGGAGTTAAAAGATCGCGAGTTGGAGACGACAGGGAAGAAAGCAGAACTGGCAGAGCGGTTTAAAGAAAAATTAATAAGTGAAGGTGTGGATCAGGAAACGTACCTTTTTTCGGATGAGACAGCTTCTGCTATAATTTCTTCAATTTCTTCCGATATGGAAAGTAAGATGAACTTCATGGAAACCGATATTTCTTTTATTATTTCCTCATTAGAAACTAAAGTTTCTTCATACATTTCCTCCTTAGAAAGTAAAGTTTCTTTAGACATTTCCTCCTTAGAAAGTAAAGTTTTGTCTGACATATCTTCTTTAAAAACCGAAATTTCTTCCGACTTGGAAACCAAAATGTCTTCTATGGAGAATAAATTTTCGTCCAATATTTCTTCCTTAGAAGAAAAATCTGATGTGTCCAACACATAACTTTCCTATCTAGTTATTATAGGCTTTTTCCGGTTATTTTGTACAACCTATTGCAGCATCTCTATAAATGTTTAGATGATAAACTAAATATATACATTGTCCACATACATCTACCTCGAAACATTTTTCTATAGATATTCATTGAAAACGAAAATACTGAAAAATTTAAATTTAGCACTTTTACATTACGGTCCATTTTAGAAAAATCATGTATAAACAAAAATTATAGAGATCGATATCGCAAACAACTTTTAGTTCAACAATTTTCATAAAAATCAGAATTTTGCACATTTTGTCAAATTTCTCGAATACGGACCATTTTGACATAAAACAAAAATTATAGATAATAATATAAGAAGTAACTTTTATTTGAACAATTTTTTCCTCCAAACATAAATAACAAATATATTCAATAAAATATAAAAACAGCCTCCCATAAAGTACCCCCCTAGATGTTCCGACTTTGTCCAAAATCTAATTATTTTACGTCAGGCCGAAATAAACCTTAAGTTTAAAATTTAATGTTTTTTTCTTTATCCGTTTTTGAGTTTTCTTCAAAATTCGAAATTTACACCTTTTCTCAAATATCTCGAATACGGTCCATTTTAGAGAAATTATGTATAAAATAAAAATTATAGAGAATTATATTACAAACAGCTTTTGTTTAAACAATTTTTATAAAAAAATATTTTTTTTACATTTTGTCAAATTTCTCGAATACGGACCATTTTAGGAAAATTTTGTATAGAACAAAAATTATAGATAGTAATATTAGAAGTAACTTTTATTTGAACAATTTTCTTCTCCAAACGTAAATAACAGATATATTCCATAAAATATAAAAATGATTAATTATAAAGTACCCCCCCAGATGTTCCGACTCTGCCCAAAATCTAATCAGTTCATTAGACGCTGGAATAAAGCTTAAGTTTAAAATTTGGTGTTTTTCTGTGTATCGGTTCATGAGTTATGTGACCTACAGACACACACACACACAGACACAGACACACACACACACACACACACACACACACACACACACACACACACACACACACACACACACATCATCGCGAAAATAGTCAAAACGGATTCAGGGGACCTCAAAACGTAAAAATCCGTCGAAAACTAGAGGTCGAAAAAAATCATGATTCCTATACTTTCCTTATATCTGTATACAGATAGGAAAGTAAAAAGTGTCTTCCGAAATGTCTTCTTTAAATGATGAAATCTCTTCTGATATGACTTCCATGAAAAACGAAATTTCTTCTATGGAAGATAAGATTTTTTTCGTTAAGGAGAAAATAATCTCTTCCGTTGAGGAGAAAATAAAAGAAATGAAAAAGACGATAGAAGAACTGGAACATTCAGACTCGGCCAAGGACGTTGATATGCCGTAACAATCAGTAGGTACGTTATACAGTTAAATGAAGTTCGTATATTATATATACCTCACAAGCATGTGAAGTCCAATTTTTATATGTTTTGTTTATTCTACGAATTTACGAATTCCCTTTTACTTTATAGCTGATTTCTCTGGATGGAATTGCTGGACGGTATAAGGGCAAAAT